GGGGGGGGGGGGGGGGGGGGGGTGTCCGGAGAGTCGACACCGTATAATAAGAAACCCGAGAAGAATGCCGGAATTCGCTCTTAAAAAGTCTCCGGCAGATGCCCCGAGTGCGAAACAGGCTCGCACCGCATCCGCGGCAATCGACTGCCAATCAGCATTACAAATTCCAGCCCCCCCCCTCCCCCCGTCGCGGGCATCGCCCTTTGTTTTTCCGTTTTCTTTCGTTGCGCGACCTCGGCGCCCGTTTCGGCGGAAGGTAAATAAACTTATTAAATCTGCTTTTCTTTCGCCCGGATTTTAATCTTCTTTCTAATTTGCCTCCATCAATAATTCCGAGGCCCTGGCTTCTTCCCGGGGAGCTTAGAGTGTCTCTCGAGCTTAGTTTTTGTCTGCAGCCTGTCTCTCCTTACCGCCCCGTCAGCTGACTTATAGGAACTTCAATAAATGCTCAAATCAACCCCCTCTCTCTTCCTCCCCTACCGGTATTTTTCAGCCCTCCGCGTGCTTTCACCCTGGAAAACAAGCAGTGGCGTGGCGTGAACTGCGATATATCGATTGTTATGCCATTTAAACCCATGGTAAAGAATCGATTTTTAAGTTGTTCGCTGCGAGCATCCTGTTTATCGATCGTTTTCCATAGGTTTAAATGGCATGACAATCGATATATCGCAATTCACGCCACGCCACTGAAAACAAGGTTGGTGAAAGTTTGGGTAACTGCATCGGGCCCCTCTTTCCTGAGTCTTCTCTTCCGTTGATTGCATTTGTTAGTCTCGAAGAAACTATTTCTGGTTGACAAAATCTTTGAACATTTTCTTTCGAACTGACAACTGCAGGCACGCTGAACAGGGCGCAGGGTGTCTACAAAAACAGGCTGGCCAAAAATCAGTACTTGTACAGCACTTTTTCGGTACATTCCCGAGAAATTCAGTACCTCCTAAACGAAAAAATTCAGTACTTTTTCAGTACCTATACATTTGACGAAATACGAAAGATTTCACAAATTTGAATTTCTTTCTCACATTGCGACAAAAATGAAAAATTCTGGACATTCGAAAGGAATTCCTGCATTTTTTCAGTACTTTCGGACCGCCCTTTAAAAATCATTAATTTTTCCAGAAATTCTGAACTTGTAGACACCCTGAGGGTGGAGTTCTTGGACTTACCCTATATTCTGAAAAGGCATATCACGAAGGTAGCGAAATGGTCCAAGAAGAATGCCTGAATTTACTAGAATCGTTTCGTCAACATTTGGATTGCCCGGATTGTCGCTGAAATCAAAATGCGCGGAATATTCAGGTTTGTCGACGATATCATGGCAAAAATGACGAATACGACCAAAATACCATTAGACCAAATTATCTTCTGTCGTTTTTTTCTGTCGATGCAACCGTTGAACGTAAATTTAAAAAAACCCTTATTCTGCCGAAATTTTGGTACAACTACTTCCGGTCAGGGGAAATACGGAAGAAAGAGAGCCAACTATAGAAACTAATTGCGTAATAGCCTTTTCTTACGAATAGTTCATTCTATAATAAAGTATTAAAATAAAGAATAGTATTAGAATAGTACAGTTTGTAGTATTCTCTAGAAATGAATCAGGATATTACGCTGAGTCCGAGAGTGCAAAACTTGTGCCTTTGCTAAACCAGCCCAGAACACCCGATTTGAAAATCTGGCATCCACGGTTCCGTCTAGACCTAAGAAGAAACTTCACATTGATTATGTTGGTCCAATTGTCCGCAGTAAATCCGGAAATATGCATATTTTTGTTTGCGTCGATCAATTTTCATTTATTCAGGTCTTTCCAGTGCGTCAAGCTTCAGCTGACACTACCCCATTAAGGTTTTACGGCAAATTTTTCAATCATGCAGCTTCCCTGAATTTCTTACCAGTGACAATGGTCCCTGTTTTCGTGCTGAGCTATTCATTCGCTTCTGCTACAACCTAGGAGTAAATCTTCTGAAAACTCCACCTGATTACCCTTACGCAAATTCCGCCGAAAGAGTCAATAAAAATTTGAAAAGCGCGCTCATAGCATATTCCGACGCTCACAATACGTGGGACGAAAATCTTAATTGGATCCAACTTGCTTTCAATTTAGTGAAGCATGAAGGTCACAAGCACAGGCACACCCCCTTCGAAATGATGTTCACCTACCCGCCCGCCCGCCCACCCCTTATCATTGCATTGGTATTTAAACGAACTATTACCGTCTGATCCCAAAAATGTGACTGCCGTGTGGAATCGAGTGAAAATCGCGAAACTTAAATTCAGGAGCATATAACGGATTGCCACAATAAGCTTTATAATCCAACCTCGGAAACCCAGCAAGCGAAAGAATTAAATCAACTCTCATAAGAAAACTGAGAAAAGGTACAATGAATTTAGAACAGAGTCCCCCTACGAAATCGATCAGCTCGTTTTGGTTATCTGTATACTTCTGAAAACTTTATGTGGATTAAGTATGGGACTTCCCCTGTAATATCGAAATCTTAGGGTAAAATAAAATACTCAACTATCTATCCATTTTGCGGCCAAACAAGGCCAAAAAGATTAAAAATAGCATGGAGAATAAAAAATTTTGAGCACTAATGGAAATTGATGCTATAAATATAAGTGTATTCGTTAGTTAAAGGTTGATGAATTTCTTGTTTCAGATGAGCTGCGACTGGTGAAAGATGGGAAATACGGGGCGGAGAACCCGGATAAAAAGGGTGGTTGGGACGGCATGATCGGCGAGCTCGTCCGAAGGGTAAGTCTCAAAACTAACGTTCCACTCTGTCACATTCTAAGCGACTGCATGCACACCATCAACTAAAGTTATTCACTGAAATTACCCGCTGAGGATAGTACTTTAGATACATTCAACACGATTTAACACTCGAAAAGACTTGGGGGTGGTGTGATTTACTCAAAAATGATATTTGAAACTTTGGAGGAGCTCTTTCATGTCAACGGTTATCATCTTCGACTAAACGGAAACTTAAAACGCGCCTACATAAAAACCAGCTGAGCGCTTCTCTAAGGGGAACGTATTAGAGCTATCCCGCTAGTTTAAATCAACAGATGAATACGATTCAGCGGTCTGATTGTTGGACTTTAGAGTCGAAGCTATAGACAAAAAAGGAAAAAGGGATATGGAGGGATCCTACTGGAGGAAGCGGGTGGTTGTGATGGACATAGGAAGTAGATGATGGACAAACCATCGGCAACCCACAAGAGACCCTATAGTTGGACCGCGTTAAACAGAAGAGAACTAAGCTGAATCAGGTATTGCCAAATTTAACTGGGCAATTTAATTTTTTACGAGGAAACGTTTAAGCGGATTTTTTTTTGAAAATTACGTGGAATTCGCTTCGGAGAAAATGGAGAAAATTCTCTGGAATTTGCATGAAAATCTGCACAACCGTTTTCGTGTAAAACATTAAATTGCCCGGTTAAATTTGGCAATAGCTGATGTGGCTTGGTTCCTTTCTGTTTAACGCGGTCCAGTTAATCATTATACCCCTTAATCTATAAGAGCCACCCGTTTCAACGAATGTGATCGCTCCGTACTTTCTTATATCTCCTTTGTCTATCAATTTCAAAAACCAACCCGCAGGAGTGATTGCGGCAATAGCGCCGCGAGCACAGCCTGGCTCAAAATATCACCGAAGTCATTTTCGCTTATTGTCAGGCTGTAAAATCGGTTGGGGGGTAGCAGCGACATAGACGCCGCCGCCGCGCCGGGGGTTGAAATCGAAACCAATTTGACGAGGGTTCGGTAACCCCCGAGTAAAGAGAGGAAAGTCTCGGATGACGCGCCCGCCGAGGTGGGCCGGGAAATTAAACGGCGGGGCGAATTAATCTGTGAACGCAGGGCTCGCGCTCGAGCCGGCAAAACCCCCCATCCGCCCCCGAATTCCGCCGGGGGTTGCGCGGTTCTCGCCTCGGAGGGAGGCCAGGCGGGGGCGGGGGGTTGATTTCGGGATGCGCCGCCGAGAAAAATCCGAGGGAAGATGGGACTGACTGGGGCGCTCCCTCCTGCTGCGATACCGGTATAGCAAAAACAGCGTAGAATCCTGTAAACGTTGCCAGATTTCCGTCTATGAAAAAAGAATTAGCGTGCAAATTTATGAATATTATTATTGGATTTTTTCAAATAATTTTTATCGCACTTAATGTTTAAGCATCTAGAAGTTTCAAGTGAAATAATGCATAGATTTCTTCAAAAATTGATGTCTTACGGTGTGAAATTAGGCAACGTTGGAGCGCTCGTGCGGAGTTTTTCCTCTGCACGGCGGGATAACCTTCATTATCGGCGGGAGTAACTTATAAGAATATTGAGTTTCAATTATTAATTTGTGGGGCTACGAGGCCCCGGGCCTCCGCGCGTCCCGGATGAACTTTCGACAAAGGCCTAGGAGCCGAATCGATACCCCCCGCTGAGAACCCCGACCCTCGGTGATTTTGGGGCTCTTCATGCGGTGTTGCCGGAAACATGGCACCTTCCAACTACGCACGGAGACGAAAGTATGATAAAGTTGTTAGGTGCGGGTGAAATGCCGAATTGCAACGCAGATAAACTGTCATTCACTGAGGGAAAAACACATTGGATCTAGAGTCCAGACTCTTGAAAACATTGACAAGAAAACGTCTTGGCAACGTCTGAAGGTTCATAACGCATTTTTCTTTAGTACGGCAGACAACTTGCAACGAATCTCTGAAGTCAAAGTCAAGCTGCCCCATCATGGTTCAAACATACACAATGAAGCTCCTCATACACAGTAGCTTCATTGCCAAAAGCATGTGAACCCCCCAAGGTCAATGTTAGGTCCAGCGTCCAGCCTTTAATGAGAGGCTTGTAAAATGTTATGCTCAAATTACATCCTGAGAATTCTATGAAAAGTTTGATTTGGTTTGAGACGTTTTTCCACGACGTGGCAATGACAAACTCAACTTATTTGATGAGATTTTCTTTTCTTTCAAAAAGTCTCTCAACTCGCTGCAGCATCGTGAGTTAAAGGGAACAAAACCGAAGGCGGAACAAGTTGTCAGATGTCTTTACATCGATTGGTGCTGTGTTCATTGAAGCGTGAGTGGAAGGAATTGTTAATTGTTTGGCAACAGCACGGGCGAATGACGAATCTATGCGAATATGTATACTCTTTCCAATCTTCAGTTTCCGGCCCAGGGTCGTCGCGTTTCGTCAGTTACCCGAATATATTCCTTCAAAATTGAGTGGAGAGTGGCCCAACATTCGGAAATTCAAAAGTTATTAAAATGAATCAATGAATGACCGACCAATCAATCAATCAATCAACTCATGTTGGTTGCAATTTTCGTTCGTTTCTTCTTTGTGTTTTGAAAATGAAGGAATATGGTTTCAACGAAGCCGTGACTTTTTAATACGATCAACGGCATCTATCTGGCAGAGTCTGGTTATGTTAGACCTGTCAGTTACTGTTGAGACTTTCGGATAAGTTTGCACAATGCGGGAGCGAAGAACTGGATTCGTCATGCGTAGTACTTGTGTCACAGTTCTCACCAGCTGTGTCAAAATGAAAAAAAAGCATGTGTGAGGAATTTGCACTATGATTGTTGATTCCTGTGTAAAAGTTTGTCAGATCCACCCTTCATCCCTCCTTAATTATCTCTAGCACATTGACCGGAATTATTTTGCATATGAAACATTCAGCAAAATCCAGGTGGGGCCGGAAAAGGCCCAAAACGATTCTCTTCTTTTTAAATATCAAGTAATGATGATGGAAGGAAATATCCCGGAAGAATTCGTGCAGGATGAAATTGAAACAAAAGGCCGCATAACATTAAAAACCAGTAACGTGGCGTGAATTGCGATACATCGATTGTTATGCCATTTAAACCTACGAAAAAAGATCGATTATCGGGGTGTTCGCAGCGAACACCTTAGTAATCGATTCTTTACCATAGCTTTAAATGGCGAGATATCGATAATCGATTATTCACGCCACGCCACTGTTAAAAACGTAACGGAGACCATTTTAGAGGAGCTTAATGGATAGTATCCTCAAACTTTCGAGTGCATTTGTATGAACTGATCGTATCCAAACAAAAATTGTACCATGATTCGTACAAGCATTTATTAAATAACAAAAAGGAAAGAGAAAAAAATAGTAACTTCAACAAGTTTCAACGAATACTTACTGATAAATATTGATAAGGAAACAACTCGCAGAGCCGGCTGAGTTTCCAGCATACAAAGTTTAATTCAGGTTGATCCATGTATTTGAGTTAAAATGATATTAGTCTCACTCAAAAGGATAAATTTGATTATATTCCAGAGATTTGAAAAATTACTTCCTCAGTAAAATTAAATAAATTCTACAATTCGGATTTTAAAAAGGCATCACTTTCCTCCTTACTTTAGAATGAGTATCTGCCATCTATTCTGGTTGAGTATAAGTTCAATATGACATTATAATATATCCTATTCTGACACTTAGCTTTTTTTTATGTTAACCTGCACCTTCTTTCCTTTTTTCTTCTCTTCCTCTTTACTTTTTCTTCCATCTCTTTTTATCCTCTTTTTCTTCTCATTTTCTCATTTTTTTTGTCTTCTTCCATTTTTCTTTTCCTGCCTTTTCATCTTCCTTCTTTTTCCCTTTTCTTTTCTTTCCTTTCTTTTCTTTTCCTTTCCTTTCCTTTCCTTTCGATTATATAGGTAAATTTATAATAAATTTATAGGTAGATTTTTTATAAATATTCGAAGTTATAGGTAAACCTTGTTATTGTTCTTCCTTTCCTTTTTAATTTTTTCTCCTTCTCTTTTCATCCCTTTTTCTTTTAATTTTCTCCTTTTCCTCTTGTCTTCTTCCTTTTTTCTTCTTCTGGTCTTAATCTTCTTGTTGTTTCGATTTCGTTTTTTCCTCTTTTAATAAAAAGAAATGAATTCAAAATTGATTAACTGTTGGAGTAGTGTGAAATATGTACTTAAATTAAACAGATATTCGTATAAATTAGAAACTTATAATAAGTAAACATTAACGTAATTATTATTGTTCAATTATACGGCATCCTGGAATAGTTATGAAAGAATGGTGAAATTCGATAGGTTACATACAATTACAAACATATACTCCGGAAACATTAGAGTAAATATAATTATTCAATTACATGGCATCACTGGGCTACAGATGAAAACAATACCGAGATTGAACAGAAAACGATTACAACCATAAAATAAGTAAAAATTCCGTGCAATATATTGCAATTTGATGTCTTATTGGGTTGGTTTAAATTTCAAGAATCAGCCCTCAGGGTGCTTCTATTTGAGATAATTGTCTTGTTATTTAAATCATGAAACCTAACCTTGTTAGTTCATCATTATCCTCCGTCAATCTGTTTCTAGTGCTTAGTATTCTGATTTCTAGACACATTTCAGTGATTGTGTTACATTTAGTAACAGTGTGCATTTCAGACTTCGCTGATGCGCTCATTGTGATTTTTGAGGCATTATCTGTAGGAAACAACTTTTAGTTTTGCTCTATCAAAAGTTTGCCTTCGTCTGCGATTACGATGAATTGGAACCGATAAATCCAACGAGGAATAACTTCACGTAAATGTTTGTCTGCTGTTTTGTAGGTACCAAATTTAATTAATTTGAAGAGTGTAAAGATTTTCAACGATAGCCTTCGCCCGGGTGACAGACATCTTTCGTGGTACTTTAAGTGTTTAGACGACATGCAGTAATAATTATAAAAATTAAATACATGAATTTTTCGGACATTCAAA